AGGAATGTCTCCTGCTGGTCACTATGTCTTCAGATTCCAGAGCAGTGCCTGACCCACAGTACACCAGAAACACGGAATACACGACCAGAGCCTGACTTACACTCACGATACCCACAGGCAATTTCGTGTACTTTTTGTAGTTCTGTGATATTCCTGACAGTGAGACATTTTCTCTCCTCTCTGGGAGAAGTGGGCGTCACTTCTTCCTGATGCCTTCTTATGAGCCAGTCTCATGGTTCCTGAGTGGCTGGAGAGTCCAGCAGGCTTTAAATGGTGGTTTTGGGTCTCGCAAGTAGACTCAGGAATGGTTATGCATGCCCCTGCAGGCAGGAGGAAGCCAGCAAAGGTCACGGCTTGGGGTACCAAAATGTGGCTTTCGGTCGGTGTTCCCTGTCCACTGAGTGCTGGACTCGGAGCTGGCCTGAGTCACTATCCCCTCAGGGTCCTACTGAACACAAGAGGGCAGCAACGACTGGCCCCCTCTGTCCCTTCTAACCCAGAGGATCCTAAGAGTCACACCCCCACCTTCAACCATTTGAATAGAAAGGCGGGAAGGGCCTACCCTCTCCCCTTGAGCTGTCAAACGCCCTCTAACCTTTCCCCACGCTGTCCCTCCCCCTGCTTCTCTTCCCTATGAATTCACAATGTCAGGAGCAGGTCAGCACCCGAGGATCATCATGGGCTAAAAAGAAAAGTCAGAAAAGGAAAAAAAGAGAAGGAAAAAGCACAGTTGACTATTTTGGTCCCACTCAGTGGAAGCTGAGGAGACGCCAATTCTAGGCTGGGATGTGGGGCCTGGGAAGACTGGCCCTTGACGATGAGGATGCCATGGGGCCATGCAGACCTTTTCCGTATCTTCCCACAGGCTCTGCCACTTACTCGATAAATCTGCGTCAAGCACCTACTATGTACCTGGCCCTGTGATATCCCAAAGTGAACAAGACAGGTATGGTCTCCTCTGTTGGCGCTCACTGTTGGACAGACAGTTATGAAGTAAATCATTAAACAGTGAGCAATGAGGCCCTGCTATGAGGGCCAAGTACGGGCTGGTGAGTGTGTACAAGGTGGGAGCCCAGCCGCGTTGGGGTTGGGGGCTGCTCTGAGGAGACGTGTGAGCCGAGATCTGAAGGCCGAGTGAGAGCAAGCCAGGAGAGGAGAGGGGAGGAATGTTCCAGGCAGAGGGAGCTCTCTGGATGAGGCAGCGAGACAGGAAAGACTTAGCACCTGAGAAAGGCAGGGTAGCTGGGGCTGAGAAAGGGAGGTAGGAGCTAGAAGCTAGGAAGCTGGAAGAGGGTGGGAAGGCCACAATGACCCAGTCTTGCAGGGCCGTGGAAGGCATATAGGGAATTTGGTCTTTGGCCCAAGAGCAGGGTGTAGTGACCCAGATCAGACTAGCTTTCTGGGAGCAGAATGGAAAGCTGACTGGACTCCAGGCAGAAGAGTGCCGGGACAGATTCTGGAGCCTGAGGCACCTGTGGACATCCATGGGCAGGCCTGAGGGCTGGAGTTTCTGCAATTTAGATGAGACGTTCTCTTCTAGGGCAGAAAACTAAGAGAGGCTGGTGGTAGCCGAGATCGTCTGATAATCACCAGGCCTCACCTCTGTAGTCTTCTAGCCCTGGACCTCCACAGAGTCTCACAAGCCTGCACAGAAGAGTCCCACAAGCCTGCAAAAGTGGCACGCAGGAATGTGCTACTCCACGTTCAAGATAGAAAACCGAGGCCAAGGAAGGTGACCTGCACAAGGACACAGTGAAATGCAGGTAGAAGTAGATTGGCTCCTGGCTTCCCAGGTCCAGTCCTGGGCCCTCTGAGCATCAGCCTGGGCCTCAGTCCTTGACATCTTCCTCCTGGGTCTTCTCCCCTTGGAGGGGCTCCAGGCAGCCCGGATCTCCAGCTTCTTCCCCAGATGCTGGGCACCCAGAGTCTTCTCCAGGGAGTCCATTTGGGACGCCACCATCAGCCTCCATCTTCTCCTTCAGGTTCCGTTTGAAGAAGCCAATCTGTAGGGAGACAAAATTGAGTGGTCGCAGAGTCAATGGAGCACTCTGGAGCAGTTTGCCCCAGCAAATGTGGAACATTCTTTATGTTACTAAGTTATCCATGTCACAACTACGTGGTGTCTGCTCTGGAATGCAATTAGCGTATCAGCTATGCTTCATTCTTGGCAATGTTTTTTTAAAAACATTTTAAAAGTCCTGGGGCTAGCAGGTGGCATGGTGGTTAAGGGCACTGGACTCCCACATGGCCAACTGTGGTTCAAGTTCTGGACCTGGCCTTCTCACTTTCCCTCGGTCTCTCACTCTGTCTCTCTCTGGTTAAACTTTTAAAATAAATAAATAAAGTTAAATAAAATAATTCTTAAAAAAATAAGTTTTAATAGTCCTTTCTTTGGGCTCATAAAAATGTCACGTCTTTGTCTTCTTCTTTTTTTTTTTTTTTTAGAGGCTTTGCTATAGGGCACGTGCGCTTGCCAGAAAGACAGAGAGAGACAAAGAGACAGAAAGCGAGAAATCACCCCCAGGGGGGATGGCGACACTGCAATCCCTTCTCCTTCATTCTCCTCTCGGGATCTTGGGCACACATGCACAGGCGCCCAGCGTAAGTTTTAAGCCACCGGGTCCGGGACTTGAACCGCGGTCGACTACATGGGAGTCCAGCGACATAGCCATTACGCTAACTGCTGGTCCCACATCCTAGTCTTTTAGTCAGGTGACTTGACAGTATCTGGTAATACTAAGAATCGATGCTCACAGTGCTTGCTGTGTACTTCAAAAGTTCCAAATGTATACAGGTTGGTCATCCCTTATCCAAAATGCTTGGGATGAAAAGTGTTTCATATTTTGGATTTTTTTATTTTTAAAATTTTGGAATATTTGAATATGTACAATGAGATATCTTGGGTATGAGACTCAAGTCTTTACAAAAAAAACCATATGTTTCATACATACTTTATACATATAGACTGAAGATAATGAGGTATTTTTGTATTGCAGCATTTTGACTGTAACCTGTTACATGCGATCAGATGTGGCATTCTCCACTTGTGATATCATATTAGTATTACAAAATTTCAGATTTTGGAGCAATTAGGATTTTGGATTTTTGGATTAGGGATGCTCAACCTGGATATTCTTCTGACCAGTAATTCTACCTCTAGGAATTAATTACAAAAATATTTGGACAGAGGCCAGCAGATGGCATGGTGGTTAAGGCACTGGGCTCCCACACGGCTGACTGCATTTTGAGTCCTGGACCTGGCAGCTTGAAACTCATGTCAGGCGTATGTGCACACATGTCCCAAATCCTGAGAGGAGAATGGAGGAGAAGGGACTGCAGCATGCCCACCGCCCCTCATCCCGGGGAGTGAGTTCTCACTTTCTCTTTCTGTGTCTCTGTCTCTCCAGTGAATACATGAGCCCTATCGCAACAAAATCTCTAAAAACAGTGGCTATTTGGACAAGTTTGCAAAGATGTGGGTAACAAGGCCTTTTTTGTCGCATTGTTTGATATGTGTAAATTATAAACAATCTAGGGGCCGGCAGGTGGTGTGGTGGTTAAGGGTGCTGGACTCCCACATGGCCAACTGCGGTTCAGGTCCCAGACCTGGCAGATTGTTCTCTCTCTTTTTCTCTCTCTCACTCTATCCCTTTCTGGTCAAATTGAAATAAATAAATGAATGAATAAATAAAGTTAAATGAAATAATTTAAAAAAAGAGAAACAATCTAAATGTTCATCAACAGGGAATTCGTCAAATAAAAGTGGGGGCATCTGAAGAGCCGAAAACTACCAGGGTTAAAAATATGAGGTGCTGGGGCCAGCGGGTAGCATGATGGTTAAAGCACTGCATTCCTACCCTATGGTCAGCCACAGTTTGAGTCTGGACCTGGTAGTTTGAAAACCACACTGGGGGTACCAGCAGGTGTTGTAATGGTTACGTTACTGGACTCCCACGTGGTTGACTGAAGTTCAAGTCCCAGACACTGCGACTTAAAACTCAAGCCAGGCCCCTGTGCGTCATGCCCAAGAAACCAAGAGAATGGAGAAGAAGGGATTGCAGTGTGGCCATCTCCCCACGGGGTGATTTCTCACTTTCTGTCTCTCCGGTGAATGCACACACTCTATAGCAAAAATCTCTCTAAAGAATAAATAAAAATAAACAAAGAAAACCACACTGGGTGATGTGTGCTGGGCCGAGTGAAGATGGAAAAGTCTTGCTTGCTCTTTGAGCCTCAGTTGCATTATCTATAGGAGAGAGTAGGCTGAGGTCTCTTTTAGTCTTTTTTTTTTTTTAAGTTTTATTTTAGAGACAGGCTCTTATTATGTTGCTTAGGCTGGCCTCCAGCTCACAGTCCTCCTGCCTCAGCCTCCGTGTAGCTGGAACCGTAGGCATGCACCACTGTGCCCAGTGCTCCTAGCTTTAACGCTCCCTGGTCCTGGCATCCTCCTCCCCGGTCCTGCTAATTCCCCTCCCCCAGCCTGGCTATCTTGCAATGCCAGTTACTTCCAGAAGCTCCCACCTTGTACAGCGCTAGGAAAATCAGCAGCAGCAGCAACAGCCCCCCGACACCACTCAGCACGTACAGATAGAGCATCTCCTTCTCGTACACGATGTCGACCTTCATGACGACCTGGAGGACAGGAGAGAGGAGCAGGGCAGCGAGAGCAGGAGCCTCGTCCACACCCACGAGTTCCTGAGAACCTGATCCCCAGCTCATCCTGTCCGTCTGGACTGTCTCACAGCATGGGGCCCTGGTTCTAGACCCTCTCCCTCCTCGGCGCTACCCCTGCAGTCACCACAGTGACTCGGGTAAGATGTGCGATGGCCCACTTTGAGCTTCCCACTAGCTCCGGGTAAAGTGCCAACATCTCAGCTCAGCATTCCAAGCCTTCCTAAATCGGGCTTCTGCTTACCTTTCAGCTTCCTCTCCCCCTCTCGTGCTCTGCCTGCCAGTCAGATGGGCCTTCCTCTCCTTCAACTTGCCCTGCCCACTCTGGGCACCCCCGACTCTGTCACTGCTGGGCTGGCAGCCCTTTGCCACGCTGCCAGCAGATCCATCCTTTCTGGGTCATGATCTACCACATCTCAGACAGGCTAGGCAGGAGCGCCTCCACAGCTCACGGCTCTGGCTCTAGGGATGTTCTGGCCTGTGCCGAGCCCACACCTAGTTCTGCCCTGGGGTGCTCAGGTCCTTCTGCTGCCTATCCCCATCTTCTGAGGAGGTAGAGGTACCTGAGCCAGGGAGGCGTTGCTGCCATAGAGGTGGAAGTGCTTGCTGCTGTTGAAGGAGATGGACAGGGAGCTGCAGAGGCTGAACATGGATGAGGCCTGTGGGGGGAGGGAAAGGGTCAGGGCCAGGGAGACAGGACCGTGAGCCCACTGCCTCCTGCTCCTGTTGCCACATGATGAGGGGACAGAGGAGATAGGGTCCCAGTGGGTGCACCCACCTCTACTCAATTCTCTGTGTGGCATTCTTTATTCATTACGTTTATTTCTTCTAAAGTGAGAGAGGCAGAGACAGAGCAGCACCCCAACAGGATCTCAATGCCGCAGTCCGCCCCCAGCCTCAGCCAGGCCTGGAGCACGGGCACGCACGTCTGAGGTCTGCAGGGAGGTCTCCCAACGTGAACGCGGAACCTTCCCACATGGGTTAACTCTGTAGAGCATTGTGTTTGCCACCGAGCCCCATCCAGCCCCTACTGTGGCATCCTTCATTTTATTTTATTTTATTTTATTTTATTTTGCTAAATGGTGCATGTGTTTGCTAGAGAGAGACAGAGTGAGAGAGAAGGAATCACTTCTCCATTTCTCCTCCTTCCAGGATTTTGAGTGCACGCATGTGCCCGACATGTTTCTCACACTGCCGCAGCCAGAACTCAAGCCACACAGTTGGCCATGGGGGATCCAGCTGCCTTAACCACCCTGTCACTGCTGGTATTCTAGTATGTCACTCCCCATTGCTGGAAGAAGTTTTTCTATAAAGACCATATAAGAACGGGGCCAGCAGGTGGCACAGGGGTTAAGGTGCCAGACTCTCACATGGCCAACTGTGGTATGAGTCCCAGAGCTGGTGGCTTGAAAATTATGCTGGGTTGGGACCCAGCAGGTGGTGTGGTGGTTAAGGTGCCGGACACTCCCACATGGCCTACTATAGTTCGAGTCCTGGACCTGGTGACTTGCTTTCTCACTTTCCCCCTGTGTGTGTGTGTGTGTCTCTCTCTTTTGTCAAATTAAAATAAACAAATGAATAAATAAAATTAAATAAATAATTGTTTTTTAAGAAAGAAAATTATGCTGGGCGTGTGTGTGTGTGTGTGTGTATATGCTGGAAATCCCAAGAGGATAATCCCAAGGGATTGCGACATGGGCGTCCCCCTGGGGGATGGTTCCTTACTTTCCCTCTTATTGTCTCACTCTGGTGAGTGTACACACTCTGTGACAAAAACCTTAAAAAAAAAAAAAAAAGAGAGAGAGAGCATATAAGAACTACCATAGACCCATGAAAACAGCCCTGTAAATTTCAAACAAATGGAGGTTCTCTTTCATCTGCAACTATGTAAACACAGAGGGTTTCTTATTAAGAAAGGGGAGAAAAATGATCTGGAGAAAGGAAGCCCATCCACCCTAATCCGAAGGCACCTAGGCCCCCACAACCACGACACGTTTGCTATGAGCAGGTGCTACCTTGATCTCTTCCACCAGCTCCACAGTCCCGACCACCTGGACGAAGATCTCCTCCCTGAAGACAATTGGGCAGCGGCACTCGGCTCCAGGGAGACAAGACTGAGGAGGACAAGGACCCCGGGGTCAGAGAGGCCTGCCGTCCCCTGCACGCCACTTCCCCCTGCCCCATTTATTAGCTCGCAGGCCCCTGCACGCCCCTCCCCCCTGCCCCATTTATTAGCTCGCAGGCCCATCCCTCAGCCACAGCGGACAGCAGCGTCGGGTCCTCACATAGGCAGGTGAC